AGTCTTTAATTTTAAAGGTAATTACAGTCCTTTATAGAGCAATTGATGATTAGAAAAAAGGGAAAAGAAATAAAATCAGAAGAAAGAATTCATTTAATAGCCTCTTGAAACATTATTCTTCAGTTATAAATTCTACCTTTGAGATTTTAAAAACTGGAATAATGCCCTGAACAATCTTAAATCTAAATTTATACTAGATTATTCAAAAGAAAGAAATATACTAAAAGATCATTATCTACAGTAAAGGATATTTGTATATAACCTTAAAATTAATTTACATGAAAGAGAAAATTGGTCTCAATTGACAGAGAATGTAAAAATGTTAAAAGAAGAATGAATGCTTTTTACTAATAACCTACAAAAATTTTAATATTTTAAAAGAAAGCTAACTAGGAAAAATAATATCTGTAATATTTATATATGTTTCTTGGTTTTTTCATATTGTTATATACTTGAAACATGTGGAAAGTTAACTAACAGAAAGAGTAAGAAATATAAGAAAGCTTGCAATTTGTTCGTTACTAATAGACATTATCAGATAGAATTACATCTCTTGGTACACTTTTATTTGATTATATACTTTTAATTGAATAAAAAAAAATAATACAAAATCTAATTTTATGTAATATTCTTAGAAAAATAATTCTTAATCCATGACGCAATTAAAGAATATAATAACATATATATATATTTTAAAATTCTTAAAGAAAATGGAACAAAAATAACACATTAAAGCATNTATCTCGAGATAGAACTTCTGTGAGAAACTGACCCTATTTAGGTGTTATACAGTGAAGAAAACCCAGAAAACACCATGTGGTTAGTTTGTTGGTCAGGCACGAACCGACGATCAACTACCAATTTTCAATGGTTTCCACTCGACACTGGTGGGCCTATTCTCTAGGACTTTGCGAAAAAATATAATGTTTTTACTTATCATTTTTCTCCTGGGCAGCGCTAGGCATATCTGCAAGTTTAATTTATATATTTCATGTATATTATATGACTAAATTATTTCTTCTTTTGTATTTTTCCTCTTTATTTTGAATTCTTTAGTATTTAGTCACTGTTATACTCCATAAACAGAACATTTTTAGAATAAAATTTAATGAGAAAAGTATTATCAGTTTCAAAATGAATATTTTAAAAATTCGAAAAATAATAAGAAATATTATAGATAAAATTAATCAAAAATTAAATCTGTTTAAATGTCTCTTATCTTCAGCATTTAATAAGGTGCATTATTTTAATTACAATTCTAATCTAACTTGACCTACATTGAAACTAATTAATATGACTAATTAAACATGGAGATATTTCTGTCAAAACTAAAAAATAAAATGTATTATATCGAACTAAGTTGATAAGTTCTAATTGAAATTTAAAAAAAAATTAGTCATGTTCAAAATAAAAGTTGTTAATCTCTCCTGTTTATTTTTAATATTAAACTGTAAGATTTAATACTAAAAATCTTATATAAACTGTATTTTTTAATATAGATAAAAAATTCCGGACGAAATTATAAGTTAATATATCAGGAAATTTAATAACAGAAAATTTAATAAAACAATAAATAAAAATTTTGATTTTGTTTACGAAAATAGAATATTTAATTTTATATAAAATAAAATGTTAAATAAAATTTTTTCATTTTTTTAAATGTAAAATTTTAATTTTTTTATATGAATTTTTAAAGTTTTGTAGTGAGGATTATATATATATTCTCATTTATTATTACTGTTATCATCTATATATAAGCTGCATAAGAATTTAAGATTATATATGTTAAGATTGGAATAGTGCATTAACATGAATTAAAGCGAATGATATACTTTAAGTATCTCATTCACTCAACATATATGGTTGATTGTATCAAGATAGTTGATGATACCATCAATATGATAGCAGAGTGATGTCATTAATCATAAGATGATGATGCCGTTTATTATAAGTTATCAAATATGTTTGTATTATTTATTTAAAAAATATATAAATTACAAAATTGAAAAATATCAAAGTCAAGGAAAGAGCGGAATCGCCAAATTGAATGAGTTGCATGCTTTTGAAAGTTTTCCATAAATTTCTTGTAGTTTGAAATTCTCTTCGACAATTCCAGAAATTCCATTGAAAATGGACTATTTGGTAATTTTTAGTTTTAAAAAAGCACAGTTAAAAATGATAATTTAAGTTCATTCATTTTACGACATCGTCAAATTAAAAGTAATTAAAATAAATCATGATCAATACTAATTATTTTCAGCGCCATAAGTTAAATTTAAATGCGGATTTATCTTCATTTAATTTAAATCTGTTCTCATTATACCATTATTCATCTCCTTTAAACTGTATAAGAAGGGTCTGGACATGATATATACGTCTACCAACTTAAACACTCAGAAAATCAAGACCAAATATTTGATACGTAATCTTCTTAACAAGAAGAGTTTGAAAAATGTGCTATATTTTATTGGCATACTTTATTCTCTTATCTATGTAAAGCTATCGATATTGCTTATTGGATTTATTCAATAATACATCAGATATCACCTAAAGTAGCAGTCGATAAAATAATGAGTGCAATATCCGTATAATATCCTTTCAAGTATCTATATTGAATAACTTTAAAGAGCAGTTTTCCTTAAGTAAAATTAGAATAAAAGTGAGAGAAATAATAGCATTTATGATCTCTTTAAGTTGAATTTTTTTAAATACTACTTTAATAGCGAATTAATAACGTAAGATTATAGATATGTGGATACAATTTGTTGCTTAATTAGCATCGAGTCGAACGTTTCAACAATCGTTTGATTTGTATGTGCAAAAGGTAGCTCATTTCTTTCAGCATTGCTTTTTCGATAACAGGTTTGTTGGAGGGATAATCGATATGCTGCACTCCTTCCAATAAAGTTTCCCTATCGAATAAAGTATTTGCTTTCTTTCTTCCAGAGTAACCTGTAATTTTGCGAATTTAAATGAATAAAAATGTTTCAATGGATTCTAATAGATCGGATTTTTTAATGATATTTTAATAAGTAATAAAATTACAAAAAGAACAATTGGAAAAATCTAACACGCATAATTATTTATAATGACTGCGTTTATGTTATACAATTAATTACGTGTGTCTGCATTTTAATTAACTATACTCTTTGTAATATTTACAACAATTATTTTGCTATGTTTATAAATATCCACAATTCTTACTCAGCAAATTTTCTACTAAGTACCGTGATATTTATGCAGTATTTGTACTGCACATATTCATATCATAAATATAATTATTTACTTTATGTCATGTTCATCTTATATAAACTTTTATCAAAATTCATATCAATTAATAACGTTTATGTTAAATTTAAGTGTAAATAATTTTAATATATTTTAATGAATATACTGATAATTTCAAATTATATATAGCCTATTTATATATATATGCATTTAAATAACTATAATTATAGATTAATTTTCTGGTGCATAGTTGCAGGTAATGCAACAGTATTGAATAATATTCTAATTTAAATTCATTACAGTAATTTATAAAATATGTAAATTAGTTAAAAATAAAATAATATTTTATATAAGTTCAACACTCTTTCTGTTTATTTATATTTAATTAAACATTCTAAAGAGGTAATAAACTCTCAAAATTTCATTAGTTTTGAAAGTTACCCGATTTAAAAAGGATTTTTCCCCCCTTCCATAAATAGCTGAAATGATAGGTTGCTGCAGTAACAATGTTACATAAATTGAATATTGCAGAATTGCATTAATTTCACGCCGAATTAACAAACGAGATTTCTGATGAGATTGTTTTTCTGTTAACGCAGTTCAAACACATTATTGATCTTTTCGAAAAGAAAATAGAGTTAGAACTACGTGTTGCTACAATTTCGTTATACCGATAACATATAACGATGTTTGTGTCAACGGTTGTTTTCAGCAACAGCAACTTTCATCGAAAGTACCATTTACGGGACAATACATCTTCCACGGTTACAGAGAAATACAACCGTCTCATCATTCATTTTCACTTGCTCGATAATTTTTTCTCTTAACTATGAAATGCTTCTCTTCAAGAGTTATGTACTTTTCTCATTAGGCCTACCCCCTTTCTACAGACAAGTAAAAATTTCATTACATCGCCGATCAATCTTCGCCACACTTTCCTTCTTTTTTTTTTATCTCGAGACAAAAGTCGTCACCGTTGTCTAGTCCCACGAGAATATTCTCTGAAAAGCACTTAAGGTTTAAGAAATTAAAGTCTCGTGTAGGTATAAGGTCTTATAATACATTTCATTTGTCTAATGCCCTGGGTATGCCATCTTTTACGCAGCCGATTGCTAAGATTGCCTGATTAAATGTCTATGATTTAGCAGGTAATAGATAAGGTTGGGGATTTCTCATGTTACACTTTGTAATAAGGAAACTGTCAGTTCTCTTGACTAATGATCTAGATGCGTTGAGTTTGATACTATGAATTATGTGAATTTGTTGGGAATTTTTTTTTACCTTCTTAAATAACTATAATAAATATGCCAACAGTCACACAACTTTCAATTTTATTTCGCACCATTAAATTTTGTTGCCGTATTGATAGTGTTGAACAATAAATTAAATCTTTCATTTGTTTCTTGTGCAAAAAACATTAAAAGTTGTAATTGTTTCTCTTAGTACTTCTGGACCTAAAATCTTCGCTATACTTCTCTAAATTTAAAAACAATTTACGTATTCTATCGTATATTTAAAACAGTATATTAATTATTAAATATTAAATGTTTTCTTGATTAAATTTAAAATTTTATTATGTTTATAGAGTGCTGCTGGTACATTTTTATTGTTAATCATGAAAATTTAATGTATTGTAACTTTAAATACCTTTTCTATTGCAATATTATATATTTAATTCTCTATTTTCCTTAATGTATACTTTATTTGACTTGTTAAAATCACTGAACAGATGGATATTTCTTGTTTATATTGATTGCAAATGTTTGTTCTAGTGATCTCGCACCATTATTCGGTAGAAACCCACGACGAGTTTGTGCTGAAAGGTAACACAGCTGTTCTTAGATGTCACGTTCCTGGATTTGTCAGAGAATATGTGAAAGTGACTGCTTGGTTTAGAAAACCAAACGAAGAAATAACTGCTTCTTTACTCGATGGTATGGAAAAATTACTTCTTGATACTAAAGAAAATCTTTACATCCATAATTAGCTTTTAATATATAAACATCAACTCTTATAAATTTTCATATTGTAAATATTATCATATTAATTATTTAAATTTCATCTTCAAAAATATATTTAAATACATTAAATTTTTTTTGTAATAGTATTAAGCTAATATATTTCTTTTAAAAAAATTTAAATAAAAATAAACATAACTGAAAGAAAATTAACAATGCAAATCAAAAAACTTTTCGAAATTATTTTTATGACATTTTAATATCTAGCTGTCTAAAACTGAATAAAACCTTTGAAAATAGTAATTCATAAAGTTAATTACAAAATCGAAATGACCCATCTTTCTATAAAGTTATAACATCATAAATTTTTTCTTTCATTAGTTTTCTGCAGAAAATTCTTGAAATGTCATCGCAAAGTAAAAATTAATTTTGATTAAAAAAAATTGTGCAACTTTTCATGTCTTCTTTTTTTTTTACAAATTTAATTTCTAGTAGCTATAAAAAGAATTTTATATGATGTACCAATTTTATTTATTTTTGAATATATTTTTTGTAGATATACAAAAATCAAAATTCGATTTCTTTTCTTAATAATTTGCAAAAAAAATGTAAAAATAAATAAATTATTTTAANTAATATTTAAATGTTTTATTTTTAAATATTTAATTTAATTATTTTAACACGTTATAAAAATTTAGATTTTAAATTTAACATTTTATATAAAATTTTTGTCTTTAAAATATCTTTAAAACATTTTTAGTTATTCGTTCTGTATAAAAATTTATATAATTTAACTATATTAATGTATATAAATATAAATATTATATTTATTTATTTTTATAATTTTATAAGAATGTAATACATTAAATACAATCCTTAAATTCCTTTACTTAGCTTGATATAATATTTATTATTTTAGTTATAAATGTATTAAAATGAATATAATTATGTATTAGATGAGAACGTAAGCAATAAATCTGCTCATTGTAAATTGTTAATGCCTATAATATAAATTTATATATTGTTTGATATCGGAACATTATTTCGTATCGCCCATACAGGGTAATTGAGATATACATCTATATTATTGATGAAACATTGTTGATACTGTTTGAAAATTGACATTTTTCTTATAGGTAGATATAGTTTGTTTCCAAGTGGTGAACTGCATGTAAGAAATGTTGTACAGTCAGATGCTGCTAGTAGCTATATGTGTCAAGCTCAACACCGTTTGACGGGGACTGCTGTACTCAGCAATTCTCAAGGAAGAATCGTCGTTACAGGTAATGGGAAGTGGTAGGAGGTATGTTAAAGGAAATCGTTGAGGCAAGTCGCAAAACTATATTCGTTTTGACGTCGACGGATGGGTTCGACGTGTCTCTAACCTCATTCGATAGACACAAGGCGTCTTGCAACTTTTCAATTTTCTTTATAGTCCAACTTGTCGCTACTTTAGGTGATTAATTATCGTTGTATTCAAACTGAGACTATAGTATTGTTTACCGTGTCACTTCACTGAGCTCATGGTAATTAAAGCGATTTCGCAATTTCGTAGTTAAGTGAGTGGGGGAACTGTAATCCCATCTCTTTATTGTAAGCTATCTCGGTGCGTCTTGGGGACACTTTCAACTTTACTTTCTTAAGAAATAATCGATAAAACAGGAGTTTAAAATTCGTATTTTCTTGAAATTAAGCAAAGTCCTCCTGGCTTCGGTTTAATTGTTATCCAGATTGCGATAGGGATGGAATGAGACTCTAACGCTTTTATCTCGGTAATGAGGAGATTTAATCTAATTGATATTGTTTTCTTAATGATTATAATAGTTAAAAAATATCTTTAAATTCTTAGGTTACATCTACAATAAAGCTAGAGTGAAAATTATCGTTTGTCTTTACGTAACGTTATTAACTACAGATAAACAAAAATATGAATATTTTAATAATATTTTTAAAAATCAATATAATTAAATTATAGCATATTGTTAGAAGATTTTCATACTTTTATAAAATAAACGTTTGATTTATGCAAATTAAACGAAAATTTAAATATTTAAATATTCATTATATCAGTTAAGTAAGTATTGAAGCGGAGTGCGAATAATAAACATTAAATTAAAGAAGGGAATTTACAGAAATTTCAGAGAAAATTAACAAAAATAATATGCTTTAATACTTTATCAACATTCATTACTCGTATTTATGATTTATTTTATTTAAAATACAAAAATACTATTTTAACCCGTAATTGTTGATAAGGTAGAATAGGTCGAGGATACCCAATACTGCTCCAATGAAGCAGACAAAATTACAACGAATTGTAATTACTTTTATAGCTATTTTCTGGAAGATCGATTATTATATTGCAAAGCAATTTTTCTGTAACGATAGGGAAAACAGTTTCCAGTTTTTGATCGATAAAATTTAACGAGGTCTGGTCCTTTTAGTATTGTATGTATGCTTATTTGGAATCGGCAAGAACACATTGATCGTGTAATAATTTAGTATAAAGTTATTTTTTACCAATTAAATAATGATCTTCCAATAAAATACAAAACGTGTTACAAAATTCCTAAGACAGTAACAACGAAATAATTAAAGTGAATTTGTAGTTTCTATTAATTTATTATATTGTCTACGTTAACAAATATAATTATCTTAGAATAATATATGTGATTAGTCATATAATTTAAAATTAAATTAAGTATATGTTATTACGTATTCTCAAGAATGTCAATAATAATAACGTTGTAATCATCATCTTCGCTTTGATAATCAATGCTTTAATCCGTTTAAAGTTAAAAATTCGGTTAATTTAAATTAGAAGTTTGGAACTANCCACAATTTTACCTAATCTTTCTACATATCAGAAAGCGGTCAAGTAGCTAATTGATGCTCGTAATTTCATAAAGTTTACACATCCTCTAACACATTTCACTCATTTTATTTATGAGGCTGTCTGTCATGAAGTACAGTCTATAAAAATATTAAATATGACGAAAGTTTATGTTGGAGATTTGAAAATCCGAAAGGTAACAATAGTAGCTATAGGAATATTAGAATTGTCATATATTTCTGTACCAATTCATTTCTACTGTTTCATTTATTATATTTTGTATTTTCAGATAGTTTTGTATTTTTCAATCGATATGGCAGTATCGATTCGGATTTACAACTTTCTTTACTATATTTCTACTTGATATCATGTGTAGTTACAGATAATCATATTAAATTCAGTTGTTAAACATGAAATGGAAAATTTTCTTATTAATAATGCAAATTTCTGATTTCTTTCGACTAGCTTATTTCACAATACTATTAGAGAAGAGAGTAATAGCTAATTTTACTTAGCAATTAGAATTTAATTTATATTGAACAACGTCTCAACACTTGGGAAAAAAGTACTATAATATGCTCTTATGCTGTTTTATTCTAATTTGAATTTTGCATCCAATTAACAGTATTTATTTTAAGAAAATTAATTTCATAAAAAATTAAATTAATTTTCTTAAAATAAATATTTTTTCTATAAGCTTATGTGTGAATACTATTCATTAAGAAAGTAGCTCATTTGGAAGGATATGAGTCATCCTATACAAAACATAAACGACATTGAAACATCGATTATAGTCGTGAGAAATACCATTTTCTTCCATTCACTACGACTTTTAGAAAAGATTTAAGGATATCTTTCGCACAACCATCGACATTCTTATGCTTTCTTTTTATAAAGGGATTCTCATTTACATAAGCTGATAAGCAATTTCTCATTTGCATAATCCACTCTATCTATTTTCATATTATGGAAAATCGTTTGAAAGTTTAAGCGCTTTTAAAAAGTTTATAAAGTTTAAAATTTAAATATTATGTTTGTTTTAATTTATTATGTTAACTTAATTAAAGGTTATGAGATGAAAAGNTATTTTTATACGATTAAATTTGAAAGATAAATTAAAGCTGAATTTAAAAACTCGATTAAGATATGGAAGCTGTTATCGAGAAATTAGATCCTTATTTTTACTTATTTTTTTTGCAATCGTATTACAATTTTTTTCTTTTTTTGTATTATCAAGTTTTGAATTTTTCTAAACTCCGTATAAGCTTCTATTCAAAACTCTTAGCTGCAATAAAACGTGTGAAATCCTTCAATTTTCTTCTTCAGATGTTTCCTTTTTTACTATTGAATGATCCCAATTCATAGAAATTTCAATTCTCGATTCAATATTGCAAAATTTTACAAATCTTCTTCTATAATCTCAAGAAAAGATTTAAAAGATATTAGTATGCCAATGTTAAAGAATATAAACAAAATCCGTATCGATATAACCCAAATATAATATATTTTATTTTTATTTTAATTAACAATACTTTTAACCTCAACAACATATTATAAGCTTATGTTTCATCAAGATGTAACGTTGATAGTTTCTCACAGATAATCCTTCCAGTAATCTTTTAGTTCATCAGACAGGCTTTATTATCTTAACTGTGTAACTGTCGATATTCATTTATTTTTATTGTGATATATTTTCATTTAATAAATAACATTTATTATTTTTTTTACAATATTTCTTAAATTTTTTACATTATTAATTCTGTATTTTATGTAAGTTTTTTGGATGTTTTAATAAAAAATATGCATAATTTCATAAATTTAAAAGAAAATATTATAATTATTCCTTAAATAAATCAATTTTTATCAATTATCGAACAAAACTTATAGCATTGTTGAAGAATTAAGGTAATTAAATCGAATAGTTTAAAAAAATAATTTAAATAGTTTTAGCGTGTCTTTCATATAAAGTGGCTTACTGTGGAAATCGTTAGACAACTGAACAAGCAAAAATAACTTGTTAATTAGCACTTAAAAGTGTTTACTGTTTAATAATGTTTAAGAAAAAGGATGGACATGATATTCTTTAAATATATTTTTTATATTGTTTCTACAATCTGAAATATGTTATATTACCAGATGTCTACAAAATGCACTTTTAAATTATGACAGACGACATGTAAACAAAAATTTTACTTTCTTTTCTACTCCCATTTTCCGTTTATATTTTTGAAAATACATGTTCATTACTTATCCTGTTGAAAAAGAATCTAACGAGCATTTGTAAACAATTCGGAAGAAATTATTGATAATATTGTTTACTCTGCTAAGAAGAATTTTTTTTAATAAACCGTTTCATTTTTAAAATTTATAAACTTTTAAGTTAGGAAAAAATATATATTCATTTACTTTTAAAAGTATTTAAATTAAAGGACAACGTGGTGGATATAGGAAATGCATTTAAAATCGGTTTAACGATACGAGAAGCATGCCTAAAGACATTCTTCATGGAGACATTCTGACTAAACAGCTATCAAACAAATCGACCACATTTCGATTGTTATTCACTGGAAAGACTTAAGAGATTCCAAAACCAGTGTTGTACAATATAGATCCATTGTCTTGCAGAGAATCGGTGACAGGACGTCCCCTATCGAGTCTCATAGGGACATGTGCAATCAGCTAGATCGATTATGTCCCATGCTGCTAACCTTAAATTACTGTTGTCTCTAAATTGATTTACCCTGTAGTTCCCCAGGAGTTTCCCGCCTTCTCCATCAACCTTTAATTCTGATCGTTACAGGTTGAAATAAATGGTCTAGTACTTACCATCCCATCGCTTTCGGATGGTATCCATGGTTTCAGCACATACGATCGTAAGTTTAAGCTTCTTGTAGGAATAATGAATACAGAAATATGATTTAACTTACGGTTTAATGATTTTGCGTTTTCCCATTCATTGACCTACAACCGGAGTAAATTTAAACATTTCATTGCATTATCCATGAAAATTACATCTGTATGCTATTACATAAGCTTTATATTATAGCATTATAGTTTAAAAATTAAAAATAATAGCTTAATTAATAGTTAAATTTTATTTTTTCAGCTCCATTAATTGTAAATATTAGTCCAGCAGTCAAAATGGCCGATGTGGGTGATTTCGTAACTTTTAACTGCACGGTAACCGGTTACCCTGTAAATACAATTAGATGGTTGAAAAACAGTAGGAATGTCGTTGACGGTATTAGGGTGACAGTTCTAAGACAGTACCAGCTGCTAATTAGTGATATACAAAGGGAAGATCGAGGGATGTACCAATGTTTTGTCTTCAATGATGTAGAGTCTGCACAAGGCACTGCGGAACTCTTAATTACTGGTGAGTCCCTGGTTTTTCTAGACTTAACTGTGGCTAAGAAAGCTATCATCAATTAATTAAGAGTATAAACTAACTTCTGTAATGCTTCTGTCATTTAAGTTTGTTGCCATTAATTATGTCGTTTATTAGAAAAAATAAATATCAAATGATATATTTGAAAATATAAATATATTTTTTAAATTAAATTTTAAGTTTATATTAATTGAGTAGTTAAATTTTCAATTGGTTATTACACTAATTTTCATTCGAACTCGTAAAACGTTATGTATATTCTTGATTATATTGATTTTATTTATCATGTGATGTGACAAAATGGAGAGATGTTTAACATCCTTCATTCATATGTTAATGAACGTGCAGACAATCGAAATGATTGCTCTATCCATTAATTCTCCTTTTCAACAGCGATATGTTTGAAACAATAATGTTTTGTTATCTAGAATGGTAGATTTCAGACGTTCAAATCCATTTAAACACCGATAAAATTCTTATCAGATAGAGAAATATTTTAAGAAATTACTTTTTTCATATATTTCTGATGCTTCCAGTGCTCCTTATCTTTTCAACAATTCATAACTTGGACCACGTATATCGCTTTCAATTGAAATTTTCATGCTCTTACAGTATATAGAATAAAAATTTTAAAGTGTGTTGAAGTCACGTCGTGAAGATTAACATCTTATCTGAACGTTCATAATTTTAGTGAAAGCTTGTAACCGTAATTGCATTTTTTTCTCTAATATTTTTGCACTAAAACGGCGAAGAACTGACCTTTCTTCAGCTGTTAAATATGTAAATTGCCTAGGAAAATATTGATATCGTGATAATATTGGATCATAATGTTAAATTGGGAGAAAAGAAATTAGTTTACATGTTTTGAAAATGACTCTTACTAAATTTAAATTTGATATAGAATGTAATTATTTTAATGCAGAAAATACACCCGAAAGTTTATAATAATAACTTAAACATGTGCAAGAAATTTATTACTTTAATTAGGTGTAAATGTGGCTATTTTATTACTTTACTACTTGTGTTTGTAAAGATATTTATCCTCAAATAGCTTCCTACAATCGTAATGACTATCCTGTTTCGATATAAAACTTTTATGGTTAGTTTTGAGTATGTATAGAAATAATGTTATTTTCAGATTAGGCCATCTTTCAAGTCCTCAATAATGTAATTCTGGAGTGAATATAACGTAGGGAAAAAAAATAATTTTATTTTAAATTTTTCTGATTTTTTTTTCCCTACTCAAATTCAGTAGGAGTTAC